TTTGACTCCACCGCTCATAATGTGTCAATCTTCACCGTCTGGTTAATTATAGTATATTACTTTTAATAATTACTAAAAAAATTAAAAATGTCATCATATAGTACATATCACAATATTATCTCCGTTTCCACTATTCCTCTTTTCGATAGTTTGTCTTATTTTGTTTACTTCTTGCTTCTTTTTGGTGGTCAATTATGATATGGATTATTTCACTCTTTTATATTTTTGCTTTCATAATTCCTTATGGAATATTGGAATATCCTTCTACTCGTTGTTTTGGTTCCGTTTTCAAATTAGTAATAGTAAACATAGACATTGCTGAATAGAATATGCCAAATTTTCAAGCATTTTATCCTCTTTCGTAAAGATGTTGTCATTTGGTACGCACTGCTTGCTATGCATTTAGCCATCTCACAGAGTAATATTTAACTAAAAATTATATTTGAGTTATAAAATAAAAGTATGAAAAAAAATTAAGTTTCTATGAGTATTTATGGTATACTTTGTAAATTTCATGCTTTATAACTAAAAATTCAGATGTAAACTTTCAAAGGATTAGCACGAGATACAATGTAGCACGCATAAGACAACCTTAAATCCAACTTTCAAAGAATCTACTAAATTTTATCTTTGAAATATTATATCTTAACATTTTGAAGAATAAGTTAATAAAACTTCAACAAAAAATGATCCAAACAATTACTATCACAGATTATCAAAGTTAGTTTATATGGCTAATAGTCAAAAGCAAGCATGTCCAAAATCAAGTGCATCTTTTTTTAATTAAAATTAGTATATATCTCTTTATTTTGAGATTTATTTAATAAATAGATTTTTTTTCTAAAATGGGATCTTCAATTACATTCCATTATAAATTGTCTAGAAAATCTTAGTTAATTTTAAAGTTCTAAATATTAGGGGAAAATGTTTACAAATAAAATCTTATTCGATTTTAAATTCTTAAATATTAGATGTTCTTATCTAGTTCAAATAAGGAAAAGTGTAACGGTCAATATATTAATTAATTTCCAAAATTAAAATATTAGAAAAATTAATTGCAGTTATATAAGTATTACATTAATGCTTTGTTATTTTCATACTTAATACATATAATGAATACACATAAATTTGTTCCGTTCTGTTCGGTTAGGTATTTTTTTATTTTGATTTAAAAATAAAAAAGTATGATCGTAGATTTAAATCGAACCTATGATCTTATTGTAGGCATATAAATTTTATTAAAATTAAATCCATGAAATAATTTGGACTATATTTTAAATTCAAGATATATTGGTCCAATAAATACTACGGGCTAATATAATTGAATTGATTATATAAGTCCAATATATGGATTAAATAAATAAGTCTTAATCCATTGGGCTAGCCCATTTAATTGGGCTGAAGTAATGAGCCCACTTCATTAAGCCCAAGATGTCATTTTCCTAGAGGCCCGGTTTGGTGCCACGTGTCAAATGACGTGGCGCGCCAAGTCAAGTGGAAGAGCCAATAGGATCATGCCACGTGTCAAAATGATAAGGCATGCCAAGTCACACTAAGAGGCCAATGAAATCGCGCCATGTGTGCAAGTGACGTGTTCTGGCCAATCAAACACGGTCATGTCACACTTCAATTTGATTGGTCGGAAAGAGTTTGTTCTTATCACAACTCTTCCCTTCCACAACTATAAACAGGGGTCTTCATAACTCAGAAAAGGAACCAGAAGTTATAACAAGAAGCAAGAAAGAGCTCGTGGATCAAACGCTGCAAATTTCTCCACAACTTTCAAGCTTCAAGTACAAGTTCAAAGAAATCAAGTTCAAGCTCGAGAACGAAGATCAAATCAATTCCAAGCTCAAGAACGAAGACCAAATCAAGTTCAAGTCCAAGCAATTAAGCTCAAGCTCAAGCTCACAAACAAGACCATCGTTTGTGGAAACAAATATAGATTCAAGATCAAGCTCAAAGGCCCTTGAATTTATTTACAATTGAAAAGAAGAATCAGAGGATCCATAGAGATTGTAACACTCAAATATTTGAAATAAAATACTACGACTGTTGCAATATTTTCGATCTTGATTTTATTTTCTCGACACAAATTTATTGTTTACACTTATTAAGAAAAAACTAGTAATTGGTCTGAAAAATTCAGTTCAATCGAGTTGTAGATAACCATTGACATCCTTAGATAAAATCTAATGGGAACGTTTTGTTTATTTTCGTAAACACCAACCTTTTGTTTCTTACTTCTAATAGTATTTTTGTTTTAGACAAAACAGAAAAAGAAAAAACACACGGCATTATTTTGTTTCCTTAGAACTTGCGAAAATCTTTCTTCTCTTGGCCTTGAAATTTTAGAACCGTTTTAACGTTTCTTGCTATCATATCCTTCTTTATAATAATAATAATCTTATTAATTTAAAGTCCGATATAGTTAGAAAATAATTAATAAATTTTTTAATTAATTTAATAGTCCTAAATATTAGGAATAACAACATAGAAGGAATTATAGTTGTGTTACCTAATTCAAGTAAGGAAAAAATAATATAAGGTAATACAATTTAATTGGTTTTAAAGTCCTAAATTATTATTTTTTACATAATTTAAATGAGGAAAGATTTCATAAGTAAAATTTTAGTTAATTTTAATTCTAAAAATTAGGAAAATAAATAAATGACAATTGTGTCTATGTGAAATCTATTTTTTAAGGATAAAAAAGGCGAACAACATTTTGCCGAGGAACCTGATGAACCTGCAAATACAGGTTCCTCTTGAGCATTTTGCAAATCGAAAGATGGCCCTTCAAAATTGAGTGCTTTTGTGGGTATTCTGCAAAAAACCTAACAAAGCTTTTACAGTATCGAGATTTTATATATATATATATATATATATATTACATTCATTATTAGATTTTAATAAAGGAAATTTTACCTCCTCGAGCAAAGCTTTACACCCTCTTTATTATAAATAAAAACCCTTTTAAATTGTCATTTTCTATAGCTACTTTTTAGATTTTATAGCAAAATATGTATTTATGGTCACTTCCTACCGTTAAGCCATTAAATACGCTATCTTATATTTTTTCTCTTATTCTTTCAGTTTATTTTCCCCCAAGATCACCGCATAGTATTTTATATCTCTCTCCACGATCTATCTCTCCTCTCTCCTCTCTCCTCTCTCTAGGCGACATGGAGACCTAGCAATTGCCATGGCCGTTTTCAAAATTTTCTGCTCCAAATTTCTCTCCCCAACTCTCTCCTTTATCAGCTCCATTGTCTCCCTAAATTTTAATGTTTTTTGCTCTAAAAGTTGTGGTAAGTGTTAAAGTTTTTGTGTTTTTGACCGGTTACAGCTTCTTCTTTTTCTCTTTAAGTTTCTTTTTAAAATTTCCACCATTGTTAGGTTTTTTGCAGAATACCCACTAAAGCACTCAATTTCGAAGAGCCATCTTTCGATTTGCAAATCGCTCGAGAGGAACCTGTATTTGCAGGTTCATCAGCAACTATTGAAGTCGAAAGGAGAACAAAAATACGCAATGACCCTAATTGTAGATGTATTTATATGTATCCGAGTCCGAATACATTGATATTTAGTTTGTACAATGATTTTCTCTTCTTGTATTTAGATGTATTTATATGCATTCGATAAGGCATGCACTGATATTTATTTTGTACAATGATTTTTGACTGTTGTATTTATAAGTATTTGAGTTCATACAACAATATTTTTAAATACATTGTTAGTTCTATCATTTTGATGTTATTCATCAATTAGTTATGCATTCAATCTAACTGTATTCATCTGTATTTTCAACATACCTGTATCCGTCTGTATTTAAAACAACAATACAGTAATATACTTTCAATATAAATAGAAAATCAATGAATACGACCAATAAAATATACTCAATAAAGCAGTAATACCATGCATTAGGAATAAATAAAATATTGTGAATACAAAAACAAGCTTGACTACATTGTACACATCTGTTAGATACAACAAAATACAAGCACTAGGTTTATTATGAAATATGCAGGCAGTATGTTACTATTACATGTTGTATCCGGCATAAAATACATGATGTATTCATATACAGAAAATCGAATATAAATACTAGGTTTATTATTAACCTCGAACAATGTCAGGAAAAAAAACTCGGATTGTATGAGAAAAAATGCTCTATTTTTGGCGTTTAGCGTCTGATAAATCTTCTAGTTAGTTGGATTGATAATGTTGTGTGTTATAATTGATTTAGGTGAGTTATATTAGGAGTGTATCCCATTAAATTAGTAGCTTTCCGTTATTAAACAACTGGTAAAAATACACGCGAATACAACGACTTATAGCTGGACTATCCTATTTTTTAGCCGATTTTTGCTACTGTATTCATCAATACAGTAACTCGAATACATCGAATACATTACCATAACAACTGAAAGGTAGCTACGGAAAGTAATTATGTACTCCTTCCATTCACTTTTACTTGGCATGTATACTTAAAATAGATGTTCATTTTTACTTGTCACTTTACGCATATCAAGAGAAGACAAATTTATTTTCCTGTTATACCCACAATATTTATTACCCATTTCAAATCATTTTCTCAAATTCAATAAAATATGCATCAATTAATATGGGTATCATGATAAATTATGCACTTCATTTATTATTTTTTAAGGGGCGTAAAAAGTCAAAACGTGTCAAGTAAAAGTGAACGAAGGGAGTAAGTCAATAGCCACTAAACAATAGTCACTTCTGAAAATTCTTCTTTAATAAATGACTACTGGGCTTGAGCACAATAGTCAATAGGCCCAAAAGAGGTTGTGATCCAACCCAAATCAGGTGATGCGGCCCAAACAAATACCGGACCCCAGTCCAAAGGCGGGAAATCACATTTCACCAATAAGTGGCGGGAAGGTCACTTCACAAAAGAAAATATCAATATTCTGAAAAGGTTCCAATACTGTTGGTCTAAGCGGGTTCACTATAAATACAGAAAACGTATTAGACCGTTTTCGAGTCGGTCCATACTATAGTACCACTTCCTCTTAAGGTGTTTTCCTCCAGCAGAGAAAACCCTCAAACTCGCGTTTTGAAATCGGAGCAGATGGCGAAAAACTCGAGAGCGAAATCCTCGTCGGAGGAGCCATTATCGGACGGTTCCGAGGAGGAGCAAGTCAACGATCAAGTCAACGATGAAGAAGACGAGGAGGAGCTTGAAGCCGTTGATAGGTCTGCCGATGACTCCGAAGAAGACGACGATGCTCCTGCATCCAACAGAGCCGACAGCGAAGACGACGATAATGAGGTGCGTTTATTGTCCGTTTCTCTTTAGTTTTTGGTAATTTTAATTTTTTGGAACTGTTATTTTGCAGATCTAAGTTTACATTAGAATTCCTTCTTTGGTTTGGTGTTTTTGCTGACATAGACGAGGAATAATGTTGTGTTACTGACTAATAATGATGTGTTACTGCGTGGATATTTTAAGTAAAGCTTCAAAGCATTAGAAAGGAATGTGAATATGCAACCATTGCAATAGAGCCGTTGTTACTGTTTTTTAGCTCATTATTATTAATTAATGCCCGATAATAATGTGCTAATGAATGGATATGTGAAATTTGAGGTGTTGTCGAAATGGCGGAAATGAATGCAAATGTGATTTTAGAAGCTCCGGTCATTATTATGAATTAAGGCCCAGTACTATTCCCCTAGTTAGTAAACATCATAGACTTTCTAGTTTAGAGTCAATATTTCAAGTGAATTTCTGATGGCATAAAGGAAAAGGAAAGAACATTTCATCAAAGAAATAGAAGATCTTATCCCTGATAAAAAACATGTGTTGAATAGCTCATTAGTATGAATTATTCAATTTGTAGTACCTGTGAAGCTAAAGTGATGACGCCATTTTGCTGATTTAATGTAGCTTTATGAGAGTTATCTTAAGTTTGTTTTGCTACGACACCTGTAGGAAGATGCTGCAGCTAATGAGATCTCAAAGCGTGAAAAAGCAAGGTTAAAAGAGATGCAGAGGCGTAAGAAGCAAAAGATACAAGATATGTTGGATGCACAGAATGCTGCCATAGAAGCTGATATGGTATCTTGCTTAGACCTATTGCTGAGAGATTATGGGTTCTCCTCTTTTCAGTTAGTTTCTTGTGAAGGTGCGCCTTATGGAAATTTTATCTTTGGCAGAATAACAAGGGAAAGGGGCGTCTGAAGTATCTTTTGGAGCAAACAGAGTTGTTTGCACATTTTGCAAAAACTGACCAGTCTACTCCAGAAAAGAAGGCAAAAGGAAGGTAAGTGTTTGTTTCTTTATATGCAGGGACTTCAGTTTGAAAGCTGTCTTGCTAGTGTGATCTACAGACCTGTTAGTAGATTTGGGATTCGGGTATTTTTGAGTCATGCACCTTTTTAGGTGTTAGCGGTCAGGAAATAGAATGGGATAAAAGGAAGAAGGTTTACGTATATGGATCCATTCTTGTTTGGTAGATTTAGTCGGCAAATTGAAATCAACACATCCTAAATATTTTTGCTGTTTGAGTAACTTGGTAAAGAAGATTCACTTTGTTCATTTGGTTTTCAAGTAGCCACCTCCTCTTGAAATGGTGACTAGGGATTGTTGTCTCTACTCTTAGTATAGTTAGGGCAGGCTTACTCCCAAAAATAATAGTAGCTGTATTCTGCTTATTTTACAATTGACTTCTATATATTGTTATAGATGATTACATGATTGGACCTTATCCCTTCCAGTTGACATTTCTATTTATATGGAGAAGCTTGCTTCATTAATGTGATTTACTGCTTTACTTGTATATATGTATGATTGTCTTCTGTATGAACCCACTGATTAAACTTTTTCTTCAGGGGTCGTCATGCGTCAAAGATGACTGAAGAGGAAGAAGATGAAGAGTATCTCAAAGAAGAAGAGGGTGGGCTTGGAAATACACGGCTAGTGGCTCAGCCCTCTTGTAAGGACTTCCCCTGTATTTTATCTTCTTGCTACTATGTTAGATGTAATGTGCTTGGTTTAAGTTCTAGAGGTGCATTCATAGTTTAGTTTGCTGCATTGAAGGCATTATATATGTTTGAGGGTAATACGGTTAGGTTATACGAGTATGTGTGTGGAGTTTCAAAGAACTTAAGTCCCTTCTCTATGGTTGTATCTAATCAGCACTTGTTAAAACTGTGTAATCTTTACTTTGTATGAAGTCGCCGAGGAATAAATGAAGCTTTGGAACAATGGATCTCTTTAAATGTGTCCCCTATTGAATAGCTTAAGCTTTTAGATGAGGTGGTTGACACAATTCAATATAGTATTGGAGCATGCAGAGGCTCGTTTCGAGTTCGAGTCTGCTGCCATTTATCAAAAACTATTCCATGTTCTTGACCTAGGAGAAAAGAATTGGGCCTACATGGAAGAGGCGCGTAGCAGATCTAAAATAATTCAATAAGTGTATCTGCCCTGCAACATCTTGGACTTTCAAATGGTGTGGTTCACACAATACGATATATTCTTTACTGAGGTTTTCCACTACTAGCATTTTACTTGAAAGTGCTAAAAGTCTGATAGCCCTGACCTTGTGGGCATTCTGGTGGAAAAGATCAAATTGAGTAGTGGAAATTTGAATTCTATTGTGATTAATGCTTATATTTCCGACAAACTTCTTGTTTAATTCTCTCATTTCCTTGTCTCATTAAGTATGTAATGGTTACACGTGCGTGTTTATCAGGTATTCAAGGAAAGATGAGGGATTATCAACTTGCTGGTTTGAACTGGATGATACGGCTATATGAGAATGGCATAAATGGGATACTTGCTGATGAAATGGTCAGTGTTGTCACTTGAATGTTTTTGCGATATTCCTTTTTCATTTTGTGCTTCGGTCTTTTTGGCAGACACATCTTGATTTAATTATTCCTGTAATTGCATAGGGTCTTGGTAAGACTTTGCAAACCATCTCCTTGATGGGGTATCTGCATGAGTTTAGAGGCATTACTGGTCCTCACATGGTTGTTGCGCCGAAGTCGACGCTTGGCAATTGGATGAATGAAATCAAACGTTTTTGTCCTATTTTGCGTGCTGTAAAGTTCCTTGGAAACCCCGAAGAAAGGGTAAGCAGTTACATGGGTTCTCCTTCTTTCCCTTTTGTATATATCTTATTACTTCTCCTGACTATGTCTATGTTCCCCTTTTATAGAGATACATCCGAGAGGAGTTACTTGTTGCTGGGAAGTTCGATGTGTGTGTCACAAGTTTTGAGATGGCCATCAAAGAGAAATCTGCTTTACGTCGCTTTAGTTGGCGTTACATCATCATTGATGAGGCTCATAGAATCAAGAATGAAAATTCTCTTCTTTCCAAAACCATGAGGCTCTACAATACTAATTATAGGCTGTTGATCACAGGGACACCGCTTCAGGTGATTTTTGTCTTTGATGATTTTCTTTTTGTTTAGCAAGTAGTCCTTTTATATATGTCTCAATTTAGCCTGACCTATCCTGAAATGCTTATTTACCTGTCCCAAAACTTTAAAATTGATATGGAATAGTGTTATGTAATTCACGTGGGGCATCTCTTTAGAAAACTAATCTATTTTTTCTCTTAATATATCAGATGTTATTTTATTAAGCTCTCCTATATCACGGCTTGTTAAACCTTTTCTCGGAATTTCTTTATCATTTAAACCTGATCTTCGGTTTTGCAACAGTGAAATGCTAGTTTTTCATCTCTTAACTTTGTTTTACTGTACTATTCTCTGGTATGGTTCTATTTAATCTCATGACTTGATGTGCTGGGGGTCTATGCGATTGCACAGAATAATCTTCATGAGCTCTGGGCGCTTCTGAACTTTTTGCTGCCCGAGATCTTTAGCTCGGCCGAGACATTTGATGAGTGGTTTCAAATATCTGGTGAGAATGACCAGCAGGAGGTGGTCCAGCAGCTTCATAAGGTATATTTGTCAGTAGTAGTTTGTATAATTGATAGTAGCAGTTTCGGCTATGTTGTAAGAAACAGTGTTCTAGACTTCTAAAGATAGATCAACTACGTGTGTGAGAGCTTGCAGCAGACTTGATCTCCATACTTTTTAAATCCCACTGACATATACTGTTTACAGGGGGGGGGGGGGGTCTTGTATATCCACTGACTTTTCCAATTTTTGCTACATGATCAGGTCCTTCGTCCATTTCTTCTTCGGAGACTAAAGTCTGATGTTGAGAAAGGTCTGCCTCCAAAGAAGGAAACAATTCTTAAGGTTGGTATGTCCCAGATGCAGAAACACTACTATAGGGCTCTGTTGCAGAAAGATCTTGAGGTTGTTAATTCTGGAGGAGAGCGCAAGCGTCTTCTTAATATAGCAATGCAGCTCCGAAAATGTTGTAATCATCCATATCTTTTCCAAGGAGCTGAGCCAGGACCTCCATATACAACAGGAGAGCATCTCATAGAAAATGCTGGTAATATTTTCTTTCTTTAAATGAATAGGAAAACCTAATCAATTTTTGGTTGTAAGTCCTTACAATGCATGTTCTCAATGCAGGCAAAATGGTTCTTCTAGATAAGTTGCTTCCTAAGCTGAAGGAACGTGGCTCAAGGGTTTTAATATTTTCACAGGTTCTTTATCTCTTTCTTGTTCTCAACATTCCTACTATCTTTTTACTAAATAGCTCATGTACAGATTTTCCGGCTAAACCTTTGCTTCAATATTATGATCTAGATGACACGGCTATTGGATATCCTCGAAGACTACCTGATGTACCGTGGTCACCAATATTGTCGGATTGATGGAAACACTGGTGGAGAAGATCGTGATGCTTCTATTGAGGCATTTAACAGTCCAGGGAGTGAAAAATTTTGCTTCTTATTGTCAACCAGAGCTGGCGGTCTTGGTATCAATCTTGCTACAGCAGATATTGTTATTCTTTATGACAGTGACTGGTGAGGGAGGATCTTATAAGTCTGGTTTTCAGAATCTGGAGAATAGATGAAATCTGAGTCTATTGGGTTTCCTGTCATTGTATTACAGGAATCCACAGGTTGACTTACAGGCGCAGGACCGTGCCCATAGGATTGGACAGAAGAAGGAAGTCCAAGTATTCCGCTTCTGCACTGAGGTTTGCTTTCTTTTTAGATGTGTTACTATACTGAAATAATGCCACCACTTTGGTCTCTGTAGTGACGGTTGACACATTCTTATTTCAATTAATTCAAACAGTACACAATTGAGGAAAAGGTGATTGAAAGGGCTTATAAAAAGCTGGCACTTGATGCATTGGTTATCCAGCAGGGACGGCTGGCTGAACAAAAAAGTAAGCTTTCATTCTTGTGTTATTGCTTTCTCTTGATTATATTTTAGATGTTAGAGTATACTGAATTTTGATCATCTATTGGTCGATCATGCAGCTGTTAATAAGGATGAGCTGCTGCAGATGGTGCGGTTTGGTGCTGAAATGGTTTTCAGTTCCAAAGATAGTACTATTACAGATGAGGATATCGATAGAATCATTGCCAAAGGAGAAGAGGCAACAGCAGAACTTGATGCCAAGATGAAGAAGTTTACAGAAGATGCCATCAAGTTTAAGATGGATGACAGTATGCACTCTGCTCTTCTTTTTGGCTTGTGGATTGTATCTTTTGGCTCTATATAATTGGTTGTGCTTTTTTGCTGTTCTAAACAATTTGGATTTTTAACTAAGATTTGCCTACTTTTTGCAGCTGCTGACTTGTATGACTTTGATGACGAAAAGGTAAGGGTGTTTAAGTTGATTAGTTATCTAACAATTCTTTGTTTCAGACATCTTTAGTGTGCTTATCTTTCGTCTTTCTGGTTTATGTATTGTTGATGAAGGATGAAAACAAGGCGGATTTCAAGAAAATTGCCAGTGAAAATTGGATAGAACCTCCAAAAAGAGAGAGAAAGCGCAAGTATGATTTTTAGTTGCTAAGTTCACCTTTTGATGTATTTAGAGCGTAATTTATCATCATTTTAAATGACTCTTCTTTGCTGTCAGTTACTCAGAGTCTGAATACTTCAAGCAAACCATGCGACAAAGTGGTCCTGCAAGACCTAAAGAGCCCAGGATTCCTAGGATGCCTCAGTTGTAAGTTGATTGCAATCCGTTGTACTAATTTTACTCCTCCCAGTTTTTCTAGTGCCATAAGCAATACCGAGTTCTCTGCGTTCCAGCTTTTTGCAAGTTTGCTGATCTTTATGCCAAAATTCTGTTTATTGACATATCTTAACATTCTTAGGCACGACTTTCAGTTCTTTAATACCCAGAGACTAAGTGAGCTGTACGAGAAGGAAGTGCGTTATCTCATGGTGGGTTATGCCTCAGGATTTCCCAGGATTTCTTTTACTGACATCTTTGTATGTGCCTTTTTGTTTGGTATCTTAATTTTCCGTTTCATTTCAGCAAACACACCAGAAGAACCAATTAAAAGACACAATAGAAGTGGAAGAGCCTGAAGGTATAATTCCTTTTTCCTTTTAAAGGAATTTTTTTCCCTCTAAAATTTGGATGTGGGGACACATTAGGGTCTACTTTGCTTTATGAATATGTGCCAACAATTGTTTCATTGTTGCATTGTAGATGTTGGAGAGCCTTTAACTGCTGAGGAACAGGAAGAAAAGGAGAAACTGTTGGGGGAGGTAAGTGGTTTATTAACTCATGATGGGGTTATATTAAGCTTTTATATGTATCAGAGTTTGGCATTTTATACTTGTAGGGTTTTTCAACATGGAGTAGGAGAGACTTCAATACTTTTATCAGGGCATGTGAGAAGTATGGTCGGAATGACGTAAAAAGTATTGCTGCTGAAATGGAAGGAAAGACAGAGGAGGAGGTTGAAAGATATGCAAAAGTTTTCAAAGAAAGATACAAAGAGTTAAATGGTAAGTGGCAGTTAATTTGCAAATAAAGAAAGAATTACTCTCTAGTCTTTCCGATCCAAAGAGAACATCCCATTGTTATATGAAATAATCGTTAACACGAGAGTGGTAAATACTATTAAGTGTTAAGTGGTAAACATGTGGTGCACATGTTGCTTTCTTTTTATGGTCTAAGAATGGGGAAGGAGAGACGAAACCCTATTTCAAAGTAGACTGTTATTTGTCAATTAAATCATTGTGCCTGAATGAGTAATTTGGATCCTATGCAACTGTTTATATTGTATTGGGTGGAATGCTCTGGTTATCGGAAAAAACTGACTTTCAATTTGGGAAGAGATTGCGTGCTTGGCCATTCTTCCTTTGTCTAGGGTACATCTCTGTTTTGTTTGAGAGGCTAAGGGACTAGAGTCCAAAAAGAAAAAATAAAATGTGTAATTTCCCCATCTTCCTCTAAAAATTGTGTAATATCTGTCACTTGTTGCAAAAAGCTGCTCCATGGTGGTAATCCAAATATTCTTGTTTTAGCGCAAATTTTATAAATGGTAAGCTTGCACTAAGCTACAAAAATATGGTAATCCAAAAGTTCTTTATTGATCTAGTTACATTTATGGAGCAATATGGTTCTCATCTTCAGGATACACCACCACTTAATAATTTATGGAATTGCTCTTGTAACGATTATGTTCTATGTAAAGATTTCTAACCTCGTAAGAGATAAATCACACTTTATCCACATTAAAAATGTTACATACTTTTGCTAATAATGTTATCTTAACAACTTTGACAGACTTCAACAATTTCAGTATTATTGAACTATTCAAAGTTATTTTTTTAAAAGATCTAACTGTTCTTAGTTAAATTGCTATTAAACATACTTTTCAACTATTAGCTTAATATTTTCTTATATTTCTAGTGATATAGAAGTCAACATTGGCATTTTATTATATGTGCTCAGCCAAATGGTATTATATATATTGGGATTGCAGGGGAACACATTTTGTGTATGTTAGATCTGTTACATGCAATGTCGTGCTAATTGATATTACAGAACTGAAAAAACGAGTGGACAGATAAGCTCTTGATGTTCGGGCAGGAATAAAGTTCTATCGTGTGGTTAATGTTTTTGCTTTAGATAGCATTTGGGGCATGCTTTTATTTGATGTTGGAGGCACGTTATTCTAATGGATGGTGTGTGTGTAGATTATGATAGGATTATAAAGAATATCGAAAGAGGAGAGGCTAGAATTTCAAGGAAGGATGAGATCATGAAAGCAATTGGGAAAAAGTTGGACCGCTACAAGAATCCATGGTTGGAGTTGAAGATCCAGTATGGTCAGAACAAAGGGAAATTGTATAATGAGGAGTGTGATCGCTTCATGGTAAGCGGACTAAAACTTTTGGGGCTTAATCTATACTTTCTGTCTTTAGGATTTATGTATATGGAGATCATTTTGCAGTTATGTATGGTTCACAAGCTCGGCTATGGGAACTGGGATGAGCTGAAGGCTGCATTCCGCACGTCACCTTTGTTTCGGTTTGATTGGTTTGTGAAGTCTCGAACCACTCAAGAACTTGCCAGAAGATGTGATGCACTTATTCGGTTGGTGGAGAGGGAAAACCAAGAGTTTGATGAGAGGGAGAGGCAGGCACGCAAAGAAAAGAAACTTGCAAAGGTACTGGGACCTCTTAGTGCTGTTTACAGCATAAGAATACATTTGATGCTAAAAGCTTTTTGTATTTTAACAGAACATGACACCAACAAAGCGCACTTTGGCAAGACAGGCAACTGAAAGCTCTCCTACCTTGAAGAAGCGGAAGCAGTCATCAATGGATGACTATGTGAGCTCGGTAAATATTTCTGCTGTGATTTTGTGTTTGTTTTTGTTTGAGTTATAAGATTGTGCTTAACTGTCGTAACCCCTCTTTTTGCAGGGTAAGAGGAAGAAATGATCTTAGCTTAGACAGCCTTCTCGTATTGTGGTTTAGATCCTCTAGTATTTTTTTAACCAGGTTGGTCAATCCGATGCTCTCTAGCTGCAATGTTGAGGGTATTGTCATTCTGTCTGGTGCAGAGGAGAATCAGAGTATTCAGATATGATGTGTTAGTCCATTGTACATAATTCAAATATACAATTCCATTAACGCTAGTCTTATCACTGTGGCTGAACATTATATGTAATGAAAATCAACTTACTAATTCATTGTTCTTGCCTGTCTGCTACTCTGCTCTTGTATGGTATATATATTTGTACGTAATTTTAATTGGAATAAGCTCTACTAATATAAACAGTGGGTGCCTACAGGCAAATGTTAAATGACTTACTGAACATCAATAGAATTTTGAGATGCCCAGAGAATTAAAAGCTTGATCAGCCAAAAGCCAATATCATGTTAAGTTCGGAAGGTAATATTACGGCGACAAGCCGCAGATTAGAAGTTAGTTGCCGTTGTGTTAGATTTTCTCTACCCGTTTTCACCTATTGGTTCATTTTACGAGTAAATACATTTCATACGCCTGAGGCGGCTTCTCTGCCTCTGTTCCAGCCAAACTGATTCGGAGTTTTTTTGGTTTATTTTTATTTTTTCTAATAACTGCTATAATCTGTTTAATGATTCTCTTTCTGAAATATTTTCACTAAGATATGTTTAGTAAGTGACGACAAAATGAAATGAACGTGCAAAATTTCTTAGTTGACAAGCAGGTTCAACCCCCAAAGGAAACCAACATGCCATACTGTTGCATAGGTCACCTCAGCAAGTCGGAAGAAATGGTGGCGAGATATTCAGTTTGAACCTTAAAGCTGCTAATTCCATTACAGTAGTTCATTTCACCGGACACCGTATGATACTCACACCCCTTTTCTATAAAAGCCAAAAAGCAAGACTCTGAAATCCATACAGATGGGAACTACAACAGAACACAAGGTGTAAGAATGGAATTACAAGGGACATCCTAAACCATATCCACCAAGTTCCACCATACAAAGAACACATTAAGAAGCGAAAGTTTGATACCTTACCCACTTCTCCTGTGTCATAAACTCTAGAAACCCCATAACACATATGATTAACATGTTGCCACAATGAAACCCCCCATTTATCCCCCAACTCTAGCTCCATGTATTGCACCATCAAGCTGCTTTCCCCTCTTTTTAGCAGTTTTTCCTTCAAGCGCTACAACAGCTGAAACATCTAAGTTCACATTGAATACGAATTAATTACCTCAATGAGCAAACACAGGAAGTAGGATAAAAGGACTCTTGCTTCAACTCTCAGTATGGGTGACCAAGGGCGTAATAATGATGCAATTGTAGTACCTCAGGTTTTGCATCATGACGCCCAAAACCTACATTCCTAGAAACCCCTGCAACATACGCTATTGCACAAATCACTCATTCATCCCATCAAAACTACTACCCCTTGCACTTGTCTTCTTTTTGTCCCTCCAATTTTCGCCCCATACTTTTGCTTCAGCAACTGCACGTTCCCTGTCTAGATCACGATTCCTTGGGGTTTCTCTAGTTCTACCTGCACTGACAGGGCTGTTTTTTTGAGAATCCGGACGTTCTGATTCATCCAAACCCCACTTACGACCAGATCCACCGCTAGTTGCAATTTTCCTCAATTCTATTCCAGTATTAAAATCCCTTGCAGAATCTCTTTTCCTGGAATCAGGAGAATTCCTCTGGATGGAAGGAGAACCATGGTGAGCACTGCAATGTTCATCAGGGCTATTTACTCCATCAGATGAGTGCAGTCTATCCTCCCTGCTCCTTGGAGTGGAGGAACCAACACGGTTACTTTGTGCACCAACTGCATTAGGGTCGTAAGTTTGAGAGGCTAAATATGATAAAGCCGTCACAACATCCCCTATTAAAGGTCTGGTAGATGCTTGTTCTTGCAAGCACATTGCTGCCACTGCCAGTGCTTGGTATAGTCCTCGCATTGGGTAACGGCCTTGCAATAGTGGATCTGCCATTTTCGGGAACTTCCTCCGATCCTTGAAAAGCGGTCGAGCCTGCAAACACGTTTCTCAATGCATTAAAAAAAGGCAAAAAGAAGACTCTGCCTTCCAAAGGTGTAAAAATCAACTAAAGGAAATACAGATCTTCCACACATTATATGTCAAAGAAATCTAAAACAGAGGACACAGATCATAATGACCAAATACAATGGCAGAGAGGAGAACATACCCAGGCAACAAGATTATGCTCCCCATGAGACCGTGCGTTATCAATTGCTTTGCGTCCTGTAATCAGCTCAAGGAAGACGACCCCAAAACTGTAAACATCAGATTTCAATGTGAGTTGACCGGTCATTGCATATTCCGGAGCACAGTAGCCATATGTGCCCATCACACGTGTAGACACATGAGTCTTGTCGCCAACAGGGCCCAGTTTAGCAAGCCCAAAATCTGATAATTTAGGGTGGTATCCTTCATCAAGAAGTATGTTGGAAGATTTTAAGTCTCGATATATCACAGGAGGGTTGGCTTTGTCATGCAGATATTCTAAACCCTTCGCTGCACCAGCTGCAATCTTCATCCTTGTATTCCAGTCCAATGGTTCTTTATCAGGTGGAAGATCTGCATATGGACTCCAAAGAGGGGATTAGGTGCCATTGCATAATTTGAATTGTTTCTATTACAGGAGAAAAGTAGCAACACAACACAAAACAACCAACATTAAAGATCGCTTCAACTTTAGACAATGAAAACTTTTATCTAAATACACCAGAAAAAATGCAGAGATTCTACTTGCAGAAAGGAAGAATGGAAGTATTAATTAAGAGCACTCTGTCGAGCATCCCTACATACTTTATGTCACTGCTTCAAGCACCGCTTATTGTCACAGGTAAAAAGGCCCAAGAGAAAACACTTTATGGGTTTAGCAAATGCGAATAGAAAGTTCCACGCAATCAGTGGGGAGGATGTTACATCTACAGAGAATTTTTTTTTTGTTTGGGGTGGGGGTGGGGGGTGGGGGGGTGGTTGTGGATATCTGAGTTTTCAACAAGGCCTTACTAGGAAAATGACTATGGAGATTCGGGATTGAGTCGTCACAGTTGGTGTGGAGGAGAGACATTGAGACTCAAATTCCCGTATGTTCACAGTATCTCAAACCAGAAGGAGAGGACAATACAACAGATTCACATGTTACAAGAGAGGGAATTCATTTGGGCGTAAGGGTCCAAAGGAACCTTAGGGACGAGGGAATGGCTGATTCTCAAGATCTAGTTGAATTACTTACAAGCAGAGCACATCTCATGTTAGTCAGGGCTCATGGAGGTGGAGGGTGGGAAGAGATGGCTTATTTTCATTTTCAGTAAAAGTCATATTATCCTCTACGCTCTTGGTGAGGGAGTCAAGTTTCCCACAGTTATTTGTTTGGATTCCAGGGCACCAAGAAAGGTGCTTTTACTTGGTTGGCAACGAGTGGAACAATGTTGACAAGTGAGAATATGAAGAAAAAGAAGATTACATATGTCAACTGGTGCTTCATATGCAAATGTTTAGGTGAGGATGTGCACCACCTCAGGGGCTGACACACACGTTGAACTAAGCGGTGTCACGCGCAGTGTTATCAAAGGCGAAAAGCGCAAAAAAGCTCTAAGCTCCGTTGGGGCTTTAAGCATATAGCCCAAATAAAATCGTGGGCTTTAATGAAAAAAGGCGCAACGGGAGAAAAAGTAAATATATGCATGTAGTACAAGACTAATCATTATAAGCATGAATAACAAATATATGAATAAAGAAATTGAAAAATAATTCACGATAAAGTGAAATATCAAAACTTTTAAGGTCGCCTTTTCAGGATTACACTCATTGGCAAGGAAAAATATGTCTTAGAGCTTTGATGCGACACTAAAGCGCCCACAAAGTGAGGCGAAGCGCTCAACGTGTTTTGAGGGCTTAAGCGCGCCTTTGACAACACTGGACTCGCGCGACACCGCTTCGTCCGAAAATTTTATGAACATGTGTAATAATACTATGCGGAAATGATTAGATAGAAAAAAATGACACCACTTGACAAAGATTGTCACTTGGCATGCCGGTTAAGCACCTGATTTTGCACTTGGAGGTCGGAGGTCTGTACCTAAATAAGAACATATTTTGACAACCATTAGAGAGAGCCTCTATTTGTTAAAAATTGTGGTTAAAGTAGAATTGAACTATAGACCTCCGCTAGCTTAAAGAATGCGCCAAGGCTATTCCTTATTTACGAATGTGATAATTAATATTGTTTTATCTTTATTCTATAAATATCGACATTGCCTACAAAAAATCCTATGTATGCCCTAGGTCACCTCCTCCTACACTGTAGGGTGAAAACTCGATTGTGATGTGAGATCTTGAGATGGTTTCTGCTGCAACTTGGCAATGTCAAGCACAGTGAAGCAAGCACTCTTCAACAGGAAATTTAGCAGAAGGAAGAAAAATCGAAAAGCTTGGAATGTTGACCCACTAGCACTTATGTAGCTCTTATGAAAGGAAAGAAATAGGATTTCAAGGGGATAGAGAACTCTTGTGTACATTAGAAGAATAGCCTCTGAATTCTAATTTCTTCTCGGTGCACCCATGCGGTTCCAATTCTTATAGAAGATTGGTTGTCATCCCTAGAGAATCATACTATGTCGTAGATTCTCTAGTTTGTGTTGGACTGGGTGTATAACGGAGATTTTCCCATTATTTATGAAACTATTTCCCTAATCACCAAAAGAAAATGATTCTGAGTGAAAGCATACTATCCACACACTTTTACAACTTACAAGTATATCGGATCTTGGAGTATTTTTGTATTCCCCAATATCGAAGTGGTTGAATCTACTTTCGTGCAGCATATAACTCTGACTGAAATAGGATTTATCCAGGAAAGTGACTGAGACTCATTTTTGCTTACCTTAAGTTTCCAATATTTGGACTATGGCATATTTCTTTCATTTTGAGAATGTTAATAGTTAGGACTATGACATATTGTGACAATATGAACTAAAATGACATTAAACATTCAGTAAAGCACGAAACGATCAAATAAAAGCAGCTCAATACATTATACACTGGTCCATCTGTACAGAAGTCATAAATGTGCCAACTTGGAAAAGAACCTAGTTGGAAACCACATTGCTTCTTCCCCTGGTTTAAGAAAACCAAAATCATGATCTTTTTGCTCAAATATCTTGATGAGTGATAGAATGCACTAGGATGTAATCAACCTTCAAAAGTGCAACCTCGTTATGTCACTATATTAGATTTCAGAACCAAACCTTTGATAAAGCTATACACAGCCTTCCACTGGTAAGAGGGATGATCTCCTAATCCTTGTTCCCCAAGATGAATAGAAAGTAGAGAACACAAATGAATGAAAGGCAGGCAAGTGTTGAACCCTAGTTACGCCAAATGCACACCTTTATGTAGAGTATGCAAAGCTGAAGCCTGGGACCTCGAGAATAAGGTAAAGATTTTTTTACTCTAATTACTTACAACTCACCGAGTACTCCCCAAATGCTCCCCTCTAACCATTACTACCATAACATCTTAGGAATTTTTTTGGTAAATAAAACTACTATTATTACCAATTGAGAAGTTACAGCTCAAAGAAAAAAGAGAAATAGAGACATACTGGACACCCCCAGTATGCAGAACTATATCTCACCACACAACGCAGAACAACATTTCTAACTAGGATAGAAGTTCAATCTATTTAATCTACTGCCAAGTTTTGGATTCATCCTTCCTCTCACAAATACTTCTTGAATATCATCTTGATGATAGCTTCTACTTGCTGTCTTTTGTTCTGGAAGTTCATTAATTATATATTTGGGAAAATTATAGAGAACAGTTTACGTCAGATGCAGTTACCCTTGCTCATTTAGAAAAAAAATCTGACATCAGAAAGTTGAAAGAGATAAAAGTAAAATCACAAATTTTTACTGCTCTCCAATTGATTTTGGCATTTAATGCTTCTTTCACAAGGGAGGGAGTGGGAAGAGGTTGCCTAATCCAATACAAATATTAGTCCAGCTGAGGTACTCTGTCCACCAGTCTCCTCCTCCTTTTCCCGCTCAAGTAGTATCCAATCTTCACTTCCATCAACTCCTGCCATCACAATGTTTATTACATTCTTTCTCCATCTCTTGCACATCTATGATCTATGGTTGATCCATAGTCCTTGATCTCCAGCTGTAGCCTGCCTAAACTGCTTACTGCAACCTCAATAACATCCTCTGTATCCTTTTCATTTAATGCTTTGCTTAAGTCCCACATGTGTCGAAATATAAATTGCCGTGGTGTTGAAGACTTACTAGTGGCAGTAGGCTATCATCATTTGACAGAGGCTTTGCTGCAAATATGCACTTTAGAGTTCCTTGTCCCTCTCTCTCACCTAAACCCACCACATTGCTAGAGAATATTTTGCAAGCTTGCTCTGGACTTATTGTAGTGAATTTCCAGCTCCGGTAAGTATTAAGGTTGTTGAGTTTCCCCCCCC